AGTAGCTCAGTACTATAATGCCCGGGTTAAGAAGCGACACTTCTGTGTCGGCGACCTGGTTCTTCGGAAGGTTATGGTACCTAAGCCCGGTGTTGGTAAGCTCCGACGGAACTGGGAAGGTCCGTACCGAGTAAGATGGTTCTTCGGGGAAGGTATGTATGAGCTCGAGACCTTGGAAGGGAAGCAAGTACCTTGAGCGTGGAACGTCGACAACTTGAGGAGATACTACTTGTGATTGCCGAACTAGAGAGAGGACTGCGAGTCACTCCCAAAAGACCAAGGGCCATGATGCCGAGCTGACGTATGACCTCGGCACTACGAATAAGTCCCAGTCGCCTCTTCGACATAGGCAGACAAGTCCTAGTCGCCTCTTCGGCATTGGCAAATCAGCTCTCATGCCTAAGGCATTGACAGTTCGGGTATAAACCCTACGACGTCTAGCCCACCTCGGCATATAACAATAGGTTGATCCCACTTGAAGTCAGGCCCGACGGCTCGGCTCTAAGGGACAACCGGCACCTAAGCGAGTAGTCCGTGCATAGACAGGTCGGGTATATACCCTACAATGTCCGCCCACCTCGACATACAATATGCGAAGTTACCTCTACTCCTAGCCTAGCTCATTTGCTCGACAGTTCGGAGTAACCTACACTTGGAAAAAATTTATTTCAGTTATCCCTACTTACAGTCCAGGTCGTTAGCTCGATAGTTCGGGGTAACCTACACATTTCTACTCCTACTTGGTTTAGTTTGCTAGTTCGGGAGTTATTTACACTTAGAAAATTTTGCACAAAGGTAGTCAAAATGTTTGTATTTCATTAATGTAAAGTTTTTGAGTACAAGCCAAAAAAAAAAGGAAGAGAAACTTCCACTATGAACCGAGCTCGGAGGCCCGGGGTATATAGTATAGAGGGTTAGGAGGCTTCTAGTCATCTCGGGGTTCCTCGCCCTTGTCCGAGGCTTCAACAGGAGGGTCTTTCATACAACTCTCATCAGCACCAGTCTCCTCGACGTCATCAAGCAGGTCGCTGTCGCTTTCTGCTTCAGAGTCCGGATCTTTAGCAGCTTCAGCAACCATTTCATTCGTAATCCTCGAGGTAGTGATGGTACTGAGATCGAGCTGAGGAAACTCACGCTGGGTCGACCACCTACTGAGCTTGAAGCCTTTGCGGTAGTTCGCGGTTCCCACCTCGATCATCTATTTCTAGTACTCCTCCGAGGCCTTGTATTCCTCGATGGCCTTGACCTTGGCCTCCTCCACTGCTTGAAGGAGTATCTTGGTCCACTCCTTTACGTGAGCCTCGAGGTTCTCCACCTCCCTCTTCAATGCAGCCTTCTCCTCCGCGAGCTCCTTCTTCTCGGACATCAGTAGCATGATCAGCTCCTTTTTAGGTTGCACATCCTTCTTCAGCTAGTTAATTTCATTGCAGGGCAAATTTAGCTTGGTGTGAGCCTCGCGGGAAGAAGACTCAGTTGTGAGAGCCCGCTACAAATGCACCTTGGACTGGTAAGTCAAGGCGTAGATAGTGGAGTTCACCTGCCAAGAGAAGAGAACAAGCATTAGTACATGAAAATCCAAATACAAGATCGAAGAATTCAAGTCAGAAACTTACCACCATGCAGTGGGTAGCCGCTCGAGATCCAAGCTGAGCGACCGACAATTCAGCCCAGCCAGCAACCTCCTCGGCTTACATTGCGCTCTTGCTCTTGAGAAGGTTGTATTTTGGAGTCAGAATGCTCCGAGCTGCTTCATCGCTGTCTGAAGAAGCGGCAACTATAGGGGCAGGCGCTAAAGACATCACCTCCTCGGGCGCACGGGGCGGGGAGAGTTTCCTTGGTTCCTCCTTGACCAGGTCAATCATGGGAGGTTGTTCAGTGGACGATGGCTGCTCGGGCTCTAGAACGAAAGCCTGCGGAGACTCAACGCAAGCTCTTTTCAAAGCTCGCTTCATCTTCCCCTTCATACTTCCGAAAAGTTCGGTCACGGGGATGTCCATGATAGCTGCAACCAAAGCACAATTAGAAACAATACCAAGATGAAGCAAAGGAAATATAACAAATGGCGACCTACTAGGACTTACATTGGCCTGCACGAGATTGTCCTTGGTCACATAGTCCACGAACTTCAAATCGGGCTCTGCCCAAGATCGGAGCGCTTCCCTTGTTTTCAGGTCCAACCTAACACTAGGGTCTTGGATGGCCACCCTCTAATGGGTCGGGAAAGGCCAACCCTCAGTGTTGCGGACCACAAAGTAACGCCTTTTCTAGGCCAAGACCTTGTTCGGGAGCTCATGCAAGAGTTTGTAACCCGGACGTGGGGATAGGTAGTACGTTCACCTGTGTTCAGGTAGAACATAGGACGAGTTCTTCTTTATAGAAAGAATGGAGGAGAAGATGTCGAGGTTGAGAAGAAGGTTATAGTCGTGGAAGAGGGAGATGGTTCCTACTATATTTCGAATGGAGTTCGGGTGCAGCTGGTCAATGGTAATGTTGAAAAGCTTTATGGCCTCAACTATTAAGGGGTGAAGTGGAAGACGAAGACCAACTACGAGTTGTTCCTCGAAGATCACGATCTCGTCGTGATCGTGCTCCCAAGAAGAGTTACCTAGGGGAATACTATAGACTAAGTCGTTCGGAAGCCTATACCGAGCTACTAGGGACAGGAGCCTGTCCACCGTCATTGTCGACGGGCCAAAGTTATCTGGCTGCCGGCCTCGATGCGAGGTGGAATCCAGATCACCTGAGGCCTCTTGCTCCCCCCGGGGTGATTCCACCTCAAGAGGATCGTGGACCACATTCTGACCCAAAGTAACTTCTTTAGTAGGGTGATCTATGGCCTGAGCGGAGGTACCCACCTCGGCTTCAGCGGATCCACTGCTTCCATCTAAGAGACTATAAAAACTGAAACTAGACATATGGAAGACGCAGAATCAGAAAAGAGAGCTAGGGAAGACTCACCAAAGGAAAGATCGAGGAGAGGAAGACGATATCGAAAAGACACCGAACTGAAGAAACACCGAGCTAAAGGAATTGAATGCGACCTCAGACCGAAGGCTAACGAATTTGTGGCGAAGCAAATGAGTCTCGGGCCCCCTATTTATAGTCGTTGTGTCCGTGAATCAACGGTCGAGATCGAAGTGATCCAACGACTCCTAGGAAAACCGGTTGTGCGACCCCTGAGGTTGAAATCGGTTTAGCTCATATTTTGATGTCCACAGAGTTTATAGATGGCATGACGTCTGCGTGTAGATTAGGCGCGACCTGGGTTATTCCTGGTTGAGCCGGGCGGCCGAACATGTCCGATCAACGATTCACCCGACAAGCCGCCTGGACCTCGTGCAAAATCCACTTGGACTCGTCATGAACTCCCCGCACTGGGTCGGGATCCCTAGCTCGGGGAGTGGGGGGCAATTGGTGAAGGGTGATTTGGCCCGACTTAGTAAAAAGGGGGCATGTGGATACGACCTAACCAAGAGATGACAACTCAGCCTGACAAGTTCAGTTCGCAACAATTGAGCTCGCGTATTTAGTCACCTCGACACAAAGGCCGCCTCGGCTTAAGGCTCACCTTGGAGTAGGGCCACCTCGGCGTAAGTCTCACCTCGGCATCGAGGCACCTCGGTATTCAAGCCAGTTCAAAACTAAAAGACCAAAGTACCAGTTTGGGACCAACAACTTGAATCGCCACGTGACTGACTCCCACGCAACCAACTCCAGAGGTCTCTCCAACGAATCCCGAATCCCTCGAGATCATGATAAGTTAATAGGCCTTGACTTTTTCGGATTATCGTGATTCTGCCGGAATTGGAAGTGGAACGAGATAAACCTTACCTATATACTGTTCCTTCGAAAGCGGAGTGAACTCTATCTCCACATCCCGGATATCCCAGAACTCTTTCGTGTGGCCCATGACTACTCAACTATATAAAGGCTCCAACCCCGATGGCACAAGGTACGCGTGATTTTCCTGCTCTCTAGCTCTCTAGCTGTCTACTCTCAAAGCTCTTCAGCTCGCATCAGATTACTAACTTAAGCATCGGAGCGACCTCGCCGGGTTAGCCACCCAGGGTTCTCTGATCTTGTCTTGCAGATTCACCTAGCTCGCCGTCTGACTAGAAGCCAGATCACCCTCCAACTGGGAGTAGTCAGATCGCGCTACATCAAATACCATAAAAATTTGGCCAATAAATTGTATCGTCATAAAAGTGGTAATCAATAATGTTCAGTTTGAAAGGAGTACAAATACAAATTTGTAGAGTGCAAAACCTTATATTTTGTATTATTTTGTATATATTTATATTGTACATATTTGCATTTGTACTCCTTCCAAACTGAGCCTAAGGTAGTCAAGGGGTAGGGTGTTTGACTGGTCAAAGGTCTTTTGATATTGTATCATGTCTTCCCAACGGCATAGATTTTTCCAATTTATGTTCACTAAGGCTATATTTGGTTTGAAGGAAAAAGTAGGAAAAGGAAGAAAAATGTAAGGAAACCCATACAAACATAACCTAATTGTTAACATTGCAATCAATACAATAATAAAGTTTCATCTTCGCTACATTTGTAGATGGAGAGCAGAGAAATCCCTGAAATAATAGAAACAATATATAAGAGAAATTATACAAAAATGAGTAACATAAGATATTGCCCACCATTATAATTATAAAAAAAAAGGATGAGTACAATAGTCAACGTGTTAGAATATCTCAATAGTTTTGATAGACTTGTAACTATGATGGTTATCTCTGATAGTTATCCTAGATAACTGATCATGGCTATCCTAGATAACTAATCACCTTATCTCGTTATCATGTAGATTATCCTCTAATAATTTCCTAGATAAACTCTAACTCTGTAATTGTTATCTTTTGTACATAGTTATCCTCTTGTAACTTCTCTATTTAAATGGTTCAAGAAACCAGTCATTACTGAGTGAGTCATTCTATTCTCATTGTTCTAGTATTGCTCTTATATGGTATCAGAGCTATTTGACAAACGTCATGGCTTTAGAAACAAGCACCACTGCTCATGCTGTCCAGAGACATATGCAACCTGGATCGACAGATGGTCGAACCATTATGGTGGTCTCCCTTTCCAGTTTTATGAATGTAGTCTCAGTAAAACTGGATTGTACTAACTTCCTGCTTTGGAGCTCTCAAACTACACCATCTCTTAGAGGGCATCATTTATATGGTTATGTGGATGAATCTTTTCCTTGTCCTCCACTCTTCTTGGAAGATGGCAGTAGCCAAGGATCCATCCGCAGTAACTCGGATCATGTAGCACGGGTCGAACAAGACCAGTTGATCATAAGCTGGTTATTATCTTCATTAACAGAGCCAGTTCTGGCTCAAGTAGTTGGTTGTAAGACATCCAGAGAGGTATGGGATCAACTTCATGTTCTCTTTTCTTCTACCAGTAAAACTCGAATCCATGATTTGAAATTAGAATTAGCCTATCTGAAGAAGGGTACTCTCACTGTCACTGATTATGCTCATAAAATTAAAAATTTATCTCATGCTTTAGCTGCTTCTGGACACTTTCTCACTGATGTTGATCAAATTCATTATCTTCTTGGTGGTTTACCTACTGAATATGATACCTTTGTGCTCTCTGTGACTACTAGACTAGATAGTCTTTCTTTTTATGAAATTCAAAGTCTGTTACTTACATTTGAAAAGCGCTTAAAGCGTCACTCTTCACAATTGTGCTAGATTCTCCTTCTGCTAATTTGGCCAATAAGAAGAAAACCTTCAATCACAATCAATCATCTTCATATAAGCCTCGACAATTTAATAATGATGGTGGTTCTGAAAACTCCAAGAAAATTTCCTATAATAACAATAATCACAGGAGACTTCAGATCTTGGGAATCCTGGCCACTGTGGTTTGCCAACTTTGTGGGTATCCGGGCCATACAGCAGCTACTTGCCACCGTTATCTGGAACTCACTGCCAATAAGCCTACTAAGCAAGCTCATATAGCCTCATCTTCACGATCTGCTCGTGATGAAAATTGGTATCCTAATTCTGGAGCAACCAATCATATGACTTCAGATCTTGGGAATCTCTCTCTTCACGATGAGTATCATGGAACATATCATATCCTGGTCGGAAATGGTACGGGTCTAGACACTTCTCATATTGGCTCTTCTGTTTTGAATACTGATTCTGGGTCCATTGTCTTGAATAATATTCTTAGAGTTACTAATATATCTAAGAACTTGCTCTCTGTCAACCAGTTTTGTAAGGATAATAATGCAACTTTTATTTTTGATGCTACTGGCTTCTCTGTTAAGGATAAAGCGACTAGGAAAATTCTCATCCAAGGGCCGATTAAGGGAGGGCTCTATCAACTAAAGACAAATTGTATATCTACAGCTCCATCGGCATTCATTGGTGAGAAAGCATCGGTTTCTGTATGACATCAGTGGCTAGGACATCCCAACAAGCGAGTAGCTGCTCACATCTTATCTTCATTTCAGCTTCTAGTTTCAAATAAGGACATCTCTTTTTGTCCATCCTGTCCACTAGGCCAGAGTCATACCTTGCCGTTTTCTAGTAGTACTTTTGTTGCGAAGTATCCATTAGAACTTTTATTTTCTGATGTTTGGGGACCAGCCCTTGTCTCTACAAGACATGGTTTTCGCTATTATTTGATTTTTGTTGATGCTTACAACAAGTATATATGGATTTTTCCTATGACTTCTAAAACTCAGGTTGTCTCTATTTTTGCTGTTTTTAAGAAGAATGTGGAGAATTTAGTGAACACCTCTATCAAAACTCTACAAACAGATGGGGGTACAGAATACAAACCACTTCTCCCTATTCTCTCTGATTCAGGCATCACTCATTGTCTCTCATGTCCTCATATTCATGAACAAAATGGGGCTATAGAAAGATTCCATCGCCATATTGTTGAAATGGGTCTCACCCTCCTGGCTACGGCTTCAATGCCCAAACATTACTGGTATGATGTCTTTGAGACTGCAACTTTTTTAATTAACCGACTCTCTTCTCCAATCTGGACATGAATTCTCCTTTAGAGTGTCTCTTTGGCACTAAACCTGATTATGCTATGTTGTGCACTTTCGGATGTGCTTGCTATCCGCATCTCAGACCCTATAACTGTTCTAAACTGGACTATCGATCCAAATGCTGTTTATTTCTGGGTTACAATTTACATCATAAAGGGTACAAATGCTTGGATTTAAAATCTGGACGTCTATATATTTCCCGTAATGTGGTTTTTGATGAACATACCTTCCCATGCACTTTTGGCAACACAACTCCACTTCCCAAATCGTCTACCAACATTGTGGTTGGCCCTCCTATCGTTACATATCCGTGCCCTTCTCCTCAGACCATTCCCGTATCCACCGACACCACCTCTCCTAGCCCACCTATTATATCTACTGGTGTTAGTTCTGTTGCATTGATCCCATCATCATCAACCCCATCAGATACACCCTCATGCTCCACTGCGACACCACTTATTGCTCACTCCATGATGACACGGAGCAAGAGTGGCATTTGCAAGTTAAACCCTTGGTATGCTTTGGAAGCCTCTGTTGACCCCGATGTTGAACCGTCTTGCTACACTATTGCCAAAAAAGATCCCCGTTGGGTACTCATCATGGAAGATGAGTACAAAGCGTTGTTGCACAATGATACTTGGGATCTTGTACCGCCACCTCCTCATAAGAACATTGTGGGAAATATATGGGTTTATAAGATTAAGAGACATCTGGATGGGTCCATTGAAAGATACAAGGCACGATTGGTGGCACAAGGGTTTACTCAATAAGCTGGTATTAACTTTGTTGAGACTTTTAATCCGGTGGTTAAACCAACCGCTATTTGGTTAATAATATCTCTCGTAGTTCACTATGGTTGGAATCTTAGACAACTTGGTGTGAGCAATGCCTTCCTTCATGGCTACCTCAGTGAAGAAGTTTTTATGAAACAACCCATGGGTTTTGTTGATCCAGCATGACCACATTTTGTATGTCGTCTTAAAGGTTCCCTTTATGGTTTGAAACAAACCCCGTGGGCCTGATTTACTCGATTAAAGGTTCCCTTTATGGTTTGAAACAAACCCTGCGGGCCTGATTTACTCGATTAAGGGATCATTTGGTTCACCTTGATTTTCTGGAATCCTGAGCAAATAGTTCTTTATTCATGCGGCGGACTGGCACTGGTGTCATATTTCTTCTTATACATGTGGATGACTTATTGATCACTGGATCTTCTACTTCTGCACTTACTCAACTCATCTCTCAGCTCTCTACCACTTTTGCTCTTCGAGATCTTGGGGAAGCTCATTACTTCCTGGGTTTGGATTTGCATTGCAGTTCAGATGGGGTGCACCTATCCCAACGTAAATATATTCATGATCTTCTCGTCAAGACCAAGATGCATGAGGCTAAACCAGTTCATACACCGATGGCGGCATCTACCACCAGACTTGATGTCACTCATGGTTCTCCTCTTCCAGATGTCATCAAATATTGCAGTGTGGTAGGGGCACTACAATATATTACCCTTACTAGGCCAGACATCAGCTTCTCAGTTAACAAGGTTTGCCAGTTTATGAAAGAACCCACTGATGTTCATTGGAGTGTAGTCAAGAGGATCCTCCGTTATCTTAAATCCACAATTGATCATGTCATTACTTTCGTACTTCTCCAGAATTGGCTCTCGAATCCTTTTCTGGTGCTGACTGGGCTAGTTGCCCTGTTGACCGTCGCTCCCAAGGGGGTTTCTATGTTTACCTAGGTCGTAATATGATTTTATGGAGCTCTCGTAAACAGTCCACAGTTTTTCACTCTAGCACAAAATCAGAATACCGTAGTCTTGCCTCTACTGCCGCTGAAATTCTTTGGCTCCAGATGTTACTCATGGAGCTTGGATTGAAGCTCCCTCGCCCACCTATCATCTGGTGCGATAATTTGAGTGCTAAGTTTTTCTCCAATCCTGTCCACCATTCTCGCACCAAGCACATAGAATTGGATGTTCACTTTACACAGGAAAAAGTTGCGGCCAGCCTTCTACTGATCAATCACATTCCCACCCATGATCAGATTGCAAACATTCTTACCAAACCGCTGCCATCAACAAGGTTTCATGACCTTACAGCCAAGCTTACCGTCTCACGAGACCATTAAGCTTGCAGGGGGATATTAGAGTATCTCAATAGTTATGATAGACTTGTAACTGATCATGGTTATCTAGGATAGCTATCCTAGATAACTCTTAACTCTGCAATTGTTATCTTCTCTATTTAAATGGTTCAAGAAACCAGCCATTGCTGTCTGAGTCATTCCATTCTCATTATTCTAGTATTACTCTTATACAACGATTGGTTAGCATGAAAGCCGATTCCCTTTTAAGAGAAGAAAATATCATAAATAGTCAAAAGATAGCATATATGCTTGCATTATCTGCAGTACCCCGGCCTTCCATGTGGTTGAACTATGTATGATGATACGTTGTTAATAGAAAAGGAAAAAAAAAGATATCAAGGTGATCCACTTAGAAAGCATGATCATCTCTGTTAGGGCCCCGACGCAGTAGTGTAAATTGTTCAATCTAGGTATCTGACTTGCATCTCTATTATTTGTCTATCAGCTGTTTATCTAAAATAATAAAGAATGTCAAATTAAAAAAAGAGAAACCAAGAGAAGTGAAAGGTTCATTATAAAGAAGTCATTTGGATGTTAGTGTTATCAAAATAAAATTTGCAATTCGAGAGAGTCATACGGCTAAGATATTGGGATATCTAAGCACGGGTCACCATGTTAGTTTGTGACTTGAAAACGGACTTCTCTCATTTATCCTTATCTTGGTGATGTTAGCTTGTGACACATTCATGAACCAAATACAGTGTTCTCTCATAAGGTACAAAGTTAACCATCCCTTTGCCTCAACACCTATCCAGCTAGCTAGCTATAGCTACTTAATATGCTGATCAAGTCCAGTCTTAATTTACCAGGGTTTGGGGGTTTGGAGAAGATTACCCAAAAATTTAGCTTTAGCTTCATCAAGCTAAAAAAAAGTGTTGTCTTCAGACCCGGTATGTGAAAACCGCTAACAAGTGAGAAACCTCAGCCACAAACTTGGTGGCGGAACCTGGTGGTCACAATTTATTCTCATATCAGAAATTTTCACATACTTACTTTATATCATACCACGGTACCAAACCAACTATTTACAGGTGAATCGCCACTGCCATATTCCACGTTAAAGTATGAAACCGGGTATATTTATTTTCATCCCCCAAAGCCACCTCTAAACCCTGGTACAGGCGGGATTCAATCCCAAGTTTCAACTACAATTAAGAGTGTGAGTACGGGTTGGTACTTTGGTTACATAGCAGAGAACCAAGGTTTAAAATATCGATATGTTTTTATGTATCACTGCATATCATTTTTCTAGTTTTTTTTTTTTAACTTGATTTTTGGGCTTGTTTTTAAGTGTTTCTTATTAAAATAAAAGGGTCCCGAAACACTTGTAAATAGGTGTATCAGAACTCAAAAGATATGATACAATATGCTCAATACGGGGTATATCATATCAAAATTTTGAACCTTACTTGGAACCTACCCTATAGGGGTCAGCTCCAAGTTTTTGGAACCGGAACCTACCCTATGAGGGTCAGTTCCAAGGCCAATTCTAGCCTTGGTGGTTCCAGGTTTGGCTCCAGGGTCTACCCGTGGAATCTGTTCTTTGTTTACTATCCCTTTTGAATAGAAAAAAAAAAAAAAACACTTTCTTTAAAAACTTGATTTTCAATAAATATGATATATATAGTTTAAAAGTTATATTATCTTTATTGATTAAATTGAGTAAGTTGATATGTAGACTATCATTATATGGTTCAAAACTTATAATTTAAATTTAAGTTTTGTAAATATTATCTTTTACATTACTTATTATATGCATTCAAATATTAACATGAAAACAAATGATCAAATCACTTAAAGTAACTCAATGGTCAAGTGAGAATATGGCCTTTGTAACCATGAGTGCTTGGGTTGAAATCTTCACATCCCCAAAACTATTCTAGAGTTTATTTCAAGATAAGTTTGATTTCAATGCAAGTTCCACCAAGGTTGGTTCATCGGGTTGGTTTGGGTAGAGTAAACCCCTAGACCCTGGAGACTAGTTCCAAAGACTTTGGAACCAAACCCTACCTTGTAACAGATCAGATAAGGTCGATTCAAGATTGATTCCATTCGGTTTTAGGTAAAACCTACCCATTTGCTCACCCCTACTACAACCAGTAAAAGACCTTTATTACATGTTACTGACTAGCCAATAATTGGCATCTTTCACTGCATGGCACTATGTCATAGGGATTTTATTTAGCCATTTATATTTTGGAGAATGAAAGCTCAGCCTAGGGTCAGGATTTTTAGGCTCA